TATTAAAAACACTGACTAATAACTTAAACAATACTGTTGTAATTAAAATATCTCTGTTATAACTGAAACAATTTTGCTCTAGATAAAACAGTATTAATATTGTTGAAACACTTGCAATAATGATGTATTAAAAACACTGACTAATAACTTAAACAATACTGTTGTAATTAAAATATCTCTGTTATAACTAAAACAATTTTGCTCTAGATAAAACAGTATTAATATTGTTGAAACACTTGTAAGCCCTGAATCAATATTTATATGATTGATATCACATTATCTATACTTCTATGTATTATTCTGAACATTATTCTACAAGTTATCAAGATCGCTAACAAATCATTCAACAAAGATGCCTATAGCAGTTATACCTGTGTCTATAGACTCATATATATATAAAGTAAACATATCAAAGTAGTTTATTGTTCAAAATAAATTCAACAGTTTCAGAATTACTGACTGTATTTTTTTCAGGGCAAACAGACACGAGAAACAGCATAAACGTTCACATGATTTATGAGCATATTACATAATATTTTACAAACGTTAACCCCCTAAATAACTAAGTTTCACGATGTGTATGGAATACATAATACAACATTAACTTACCGCAGTCTTCATTTTAACTTGGGAACTTTCGAGAAAACGTTGAAAAGACAATTTCTTTGCTGTGATGTGTTGGATCATGGCTGTGTTCCTCCGATATTTATATGAGATCCAGCACGCGGAACCAATAACGTCTCTACATTGTGACACCATTTTTCATTTATGTTTTACATTCGGCTATTCTAGTTTTCTGTTAAACACGTGATAAGATCGTTATTTTTATTTTATTTTTCTCGAATTTCATAACTTGTGATCTGACAAGTTACGTATTCGTCATAGTAAGGTACTTATTATTATTACAGAAGCTGCAATTATATAATATGTAGAGAAGTATATTCTGTAGATGAAAATATAAATAGCTCTCACTAGGGGTTTGAGTTTCTACGAATCTCCTTACTTGTTCTACATGTCGTACTCATCTGATTTCTCTCTCCTGTTTAAAATAACACGTAACACTGTACTTGTGGTACATGTCTCACGAGCTCATTAATTAATCAACACCTAAACACCTATTTTGCTTTAATTTTGTGCTTGTTTTCCATGTAATTATAATGTCTCTTGAGTCTGTTAATTTAAATGAACGTTCAACATAAACGTATGTAAACACATGTACTACATGCTTCTTCACTTCATTGTTTCAAGTCAACTATTAACGTTGTTCTTTGCTTCATGTTTCACATGTAGTACGTGCTTCTTTACTTCATTGTTTCAAGTCAACTACCAACGTTGTTCTTTGCTTCATGTTTCACGTGCAGTACGTGCTTCTTCACTTCATTGTTTCAAGTCAACTATTAACATTGTTCTTTGCTTCATGTTTCACGTGTAGTACATGCTTCTGGAGTTCATTGTTTCAAGTCAACTACCAACGTTGTTCTTTGCTTCATGTTTCACGTGTAGTACATGCTTCTGGAGTTCACTGTTTCAAGTCAACTATTAACATTGTTCTTTGCCGCATCTTTCACGTGTAGTACATGCTTCTGGAGTTCACTGTTTCAAGTCAACTATTAACATTGTTCTTTGCTTCATCTTTCACGTGTAGTGCATGCTTCTGGAGTTCACTGTTTCAAGTCAACTATTAACATTGTTCTTTGCCGCATCTTTCACGTGTAGTACATGCTTCTGGAGTTCATTGTTTCAAGTCAACTATTAACATTGTTCTTTGCCGCATCTTTCACGTGTAGTACATGCTTCTTTACTTCATTGTTTCAAGTCAACTATTAACATTGTTCTTTGCTTCATGTTTCACGTGTAGTACATGCTTCTGGAGTTCATTGTTTCAAGTCAACTATTAACATTGTTCTTTGCTTCATGTTTCACGTGTAGTACATACTTGTGGAGTTCATTAGATATGGTTAAATTAATTTTCGTCTTTGATTTCTAATGCTTGTCTCTCTTCCTTCCATCATTGTTTTCAACAATCCTCATTCAATTCTTGTCTTATATTTTTCCTTTCTCATGTTCAATCATTTGAAGCTTCCATAACTTGGATGTTAGATTATTTTCAGAACACGAAGATGAAGATTACTGAAGTTTACTGCCAGACGCTGAATGAAAATCATGAACATATTTTAACTCCTAATAAAATCTGATTTCCTACACTGTATGTTAGGAAGAAAAATAAAACATTCTGTATTTTTAGGCAACCACAAATAATGTTATTGTTTTATGTGTAATTACTATCAAGTTGTTCAATCATACGTAATCAACCACAGTGAAGTTACAAACTAACCATACTATCCATCCCAGTATAAGCTACAAACTAACCATACTATCTATCCCAGTATAAGTTACAAACTAACCATACTATCTATCCCAGTATAAGCTACAGACTAACCATACTATCTATCCCAGTATAAGCTACAAACTAACCATACTATATATCCCAGTATAAGCTACAAACTAACCATAATATATATCCTAGTATAACCTAAAAACTAATCACACTATATATCCTAGTATAAGCTACAAACTAACCATACTATATATCCCAGTATAAGCTACAAACTAACCATAATATGTATCCTAGTATAAGCTACAAACTAACCATACTATATATCCTAGTATAAGCTACAAACTAACCATAATATATATCCCAGTATAAGCTACAAACTAACCATACTATATATCCTAGTATAACCTACAAACTAACCATACTATATATCTCCCAGTATAAGCTACAAACTAACCATACTATATATCCCAGTATAAGCTACAAACTAACCATACTATATATCCTAATATAAGCTACAAACTAACCATACTATATACCCCAGTATAAGCTACAAACTAACCATACTATCTATTTCAGTATAAGCTACAAACTAACCATACTATATATATCCTAGTATAAGCTACAAACTAACCATACTATATATATCCCAGTATAAGCTACAAACTAACCATACTATATATCTCAGTATAAGCTACAAACTAACCATACTATATACCCCAGTATAAGCTACAAACTCACCATACTATATATATCCTAGTATAAGCTACAAACTAACCATACTATATATATCCCAGTATAAGCTACAAACTAACCATACTATATATCCCAGTATAAGCTACAAACTAACCATACTATATATCCCAGTATAAGCTACAAACTAACCATACTATCTATCCCAGTATAAGCTACAAACTAACCATACTATATATT